GAAGTGCCTGATGCTTAGTTCACTGGGCCTGATAGGATTGTGTTCACAGGAGAGTTGAAAGAAGTTAATTCAGCAGGGACCTCTAGACTGGTATGGACTTTAGTGGTTTTGCTGAGCCCATGATAGGATATGATCTTTATTGGGTAGGAAAGGCTTTGGCAGATCTGAATGACAGACTGGCATGTAAATTGGGTTTATAAAGTGGTAAAGTCATCAAGAAGGGTTATGTATATGTGTGCATGCATGCACTTATGTATGTATGCAGGTATGACATGACGTGCATGTGGAGGTCAGTTCTTGCCTTCTACATTGTTTGAGATAGGGTCTGTATTAGTTGCTTTTCTGTTGCTGTGATAAGACACCATGGCCAAGGCCACTTATAGAAGGAAGAGTTTATTGCTCTTATGGTTCCAAAGAAGCAAGAGTTCATCATGGCGGGGAGGTATGGTGGCAGAGAATGGCCAGAGCAGAAAGTAAAGCACTCACATCTTCAAGCAGGCACAGGGAGGCGTGAGTCTGGAAATCTAAGAAGGCTTAAGAAATCCCGAAGCCTGCCCCCAGTAACCTGCTTCCTCCAGTAAGGACACATCTCCCAGAAACTCCCAAAACAGCGCCGCCTATTGGGGACAAGATGTCCAAGTATATTCATATTCAAACCACCACAGGGTCTCTGTTCTTACCACTGTGTAGACCAGGCTAGCTGGCCAAGGATCCTCCTGTCTCTACCTCCCATCTCACCATAGGAGCTCTGGGATTATAGTCATTTTAATGTACCCAGATTTATGTGGGTTCTGGGGATGCCGACTTGGGTCCTCATACTTACACAGAAAACACTTTGCTCACTGGGCCTGCCAGCCTTATCCATGTGTATAAGCTATATAGATAACTATCCTATTATGCAAATCGGTCATCTAGCAGTCATCCTTGACTTTTTTCTTTCTTTCATTCAATCTCTCCTCCCTTGTGCCAGAAAACCCCAGATGAGCTGCAGATAGCTTGGTCAGTAAAGTGTTTGCCATGTAAGCATGAGGACCTGAATTTGAAACCCAGGACTCACATGAAAAGCTGAGAGCAGTACTGCACACTTGTAATCCCAGCACTGGGGAGATGGAGACAGGTGGATTCCTGGGGCTCTTTGGTCAGGCAGCCTAGCCTCCTTGGTGAACTCAAGGCCAGTGAGAGATCTATCTCAAATACAGGTAGATGGCCTCTGCAGAATCACATGCAAGATTGTCTTCTGGCCTCCACAAATACTCATGTAGGGAATTGGGGATCATTTTCCCCTCTGCCTCCCAGTCTTCATCCATACATTAGGAACTTCCAAGCTCATAGACATATTAGATAAAACTTCTGCCTTCTTCTGTTGGCTCCACCTTGAGATGGAATTTCTAGAACAGTACTGAGCCATTAGTCTCTGTATTTTCTTGCTAGCCTGTCCATAGCACACGCACATTCTTCACCTACTCAAATGGCAAGCCCCACTGCCTGCAAAGGGCTGACCCCCAGGTGTACTATCTAGGACAACTCAGGGAAGAGGAACAGGAAGCCTGACTTGGCAGTAGACTCAAGAACCTTACTCTAGTGTAGTTCTACTCATAGTAAATCAAGTAGCCCTGTTTGAGTTTTGAGTTTAGAGATTTAGTGAAAGAGCATAACCAATAAGCTCCCTTGAACCCCAGCAGTCAAAATGACCAGCTGACTAGACCATCTTATTTGGTGTGTTTCCACAAAAGGCCACCCTGCAACTCTGCAACGTGGCACCACAAAACACTTGAGGCAACTTTATCCTTCTAGTTTTCAGTCCAGTGTCTTAGTTTTGGTTGAAAGCAATGGCGGCTTGGTGAGGAGGGCATGGCAAGTATCTGTCATGGCATGTACTTCCATGTTGATGAGCTGAGCCATTTAATTCAGTAGATGCCTTCTTTTGTCATGGTTTATAATGACATGAGGCTCAACACAGGTACACAATTTGAATTGATTGATGGCTCCCTTAAATGGACAGAAAGTATTCTGTTGTGTTGATAAGGGCAAATTAGTTTGGGTGCAGTTAGGATTATATTTGTACCTATACTTCCTGCTGGGAGATATAAACAAGTTGACCTTCCTCCTCCCCCCTTTGGTCCCTGTGACAAAGGGAGGCTTGTTTCCTTCAAACTACAGCCTGAGAAACCACTGAATTTATTGGACTTTGTAGCTAAAATTCCCTCCTGGAGGTATGAACCCCTTCCTCCCTTGGGTCCCTATAGTGAAGGCTTGTTTTCACAAAACTACAGTCTGGGAAATCATCAAGTTCATTGGGCTTACTTACAGAGCAATGGGTGAGGTTTTACTTACAGAAGTGTGGGTGTTCCCCCACACATACCGAAGGCCACACTTCATCCAAGCATGGACAGTGACTTTCCCAAGCTGCACAAAATGGCGAGAGAGCCTCCCCACAGCTTCCTCAGCGTGTATACCGTTAACCCCTCACCCTTGTGCAACTAGGGTTGACTGGTGGGTTGGGAGAAATGGCTGACTCTCCCTGCCCCTTCTTTCTTACAGAGCATAAGAGTCAACAGGCTTAGCTGTGATGATCCTGGGGCAAGTGGGTGCAACCAAGCTTGGGAAGATGGCATCTGTTCGTAGTCTTCCAGTCAGAGGACAGTCCTATGTAACATAAGGACTAGTTAATTTGGGTACAGTCAGGATTATAATACTTTGCCTCTTGATTTTCACTATTATTTTACTACCTTGGTGAGAAATAGTTACTGGGAGAAAAGGTCTGGGGTACATTAGTTCTAGGTTGTTGACTACAGTGAGAGTCAACCTCTCTTTGTACGCCAGTGTTCCCAAATGTAAATAAACTTTTACTAGCTGAGTAACTGTATAATCATTGCTACCATGGGGTTTAGACTACTCAATAACTGCAACACTAGTAGAATATTTATAAAAATTTGTGCCCCAGATGCATATGATGAGAATTTTAAAACAATATGTAATATACTTAGGTGACTTTGATATATATTGGTATATACTGAATTAAAGATATTACCTTGATTTTAGGAGCCATAAATTAATATTTCATGCAGTGACTTGCTTTTTCTCTTCAGAAACTGACATGAATATAATGTTTCTTGTCAGGAGTCTCAAGTTTGAATCTTATAATGAGTCCAATTTCTCAGGTTTTAAATTCTAATGACTTGCACTCTGAAGAAAATTGGATGTTTTCAGCCACAAAAATTGATTGAAATTTCTGGGAAGAGACCATATTGATAGAGATTATGTAGTCAAAGATTTAAATTTATGAGCCAAAGACTGTTTAATGTCCTGAGCCTACATGATTAATAATTGAGAGCTAAATTTAGGGGCATTCCACCCAGAAAGAATTACATTATCCAATTTCTGTTACGTTATCCTGAAGTGTAAGCAGCAAGGTTATTAAAAATGAATGAAGTAATCAGACAATCTCCATGCCAATACGTGAGCTTCTCATTAATGTTTCACTAGACAGCATTAAGAAAGACTAAATAGTCTGTACTAGTTCTAGAAGCATAAATGGACTTCAAAAGCAAAGAGGCTTAATGACCTTCCAGTAAACACAGATGGAAACAGAAAAGATACAGCATTTTAGAAACCTATGAGCTACATGTTTTGGCCCTGTCTGCACTAGAAACATGAAATGGAGTATGATCGGTTGTCTGCTTAATTTGATTAATCAGTAAGACAAGTTTAAATATTACTTTGGGGCCTGAAGTAACTGATTAACTGTCATGAACAGGTTAAAGTGGCCAATCCTTCTTTCCTTAAGTACTGTTTGACCAGAGCTAAGTTACTCAATAACAGCATATTGGCTTTTTGGTCTGGATAATTCTCTGTTGGGGTGGGGTTCACTTGTGCATCCAGGATGTTTAGCAGCATTCCTGGCTTCTACCCACTGGATGCCAGTAACATCACCTAGTAGTGGCAACCAACAATGTCTCCATATATTGCCCAGTGTCTCCTGACCTTTCTACCCCAAGCTGGTGGAGTTACTCCTGTTACAGAGATAGCTCTGAGACTACAAACAGACCATTTTCAGTGAGGGGCTGTCCACAGCGTGAAAACAAGGATTAACTTGCAATTATTTGGCCAATTTACACTTCGCAGACAATTAAACTAGTTAATTCAGATAAAAATTTCTTCTTTGGGATTTGACTCATCAGTATTGGCATCTAAATTAACTCAATTAGCAGACTAACTACAAAGTATATTTTTAATTTTGACTCGAGGGTTCCAAGTGCAGAAATACCTCACGTGGTCAGGTCTGAGAGACAGATGGAGCAGCTTTATCAGCATGATGGTGCCCACTGAGCCTTACTGCGTATGTACGCACCCCCCACATGCACACACGGGAGTGTGCACACTTCAAGGCTTCTCCCCATTGGTTTCTGCCTTGGATATAGGCATTCTTCCTCTCAGTTTCCATCATGAGGTACCAGGGTGTTGGACGATGACACGTATGTGTTTTAGGTACCAGGGTGTTGGACGATGACACGTATGTGTTTTAGGGCCGGATCAAGTGCTGGAATTTAGATGCCATGACTTAATTAGCTCCTCATTGTGGCAAAAAAAAAGGGATCATCCAAAATAAGACTTCCAAAGTTGTCATGACAGTGATTTGAACTGCTGAGGAAGTTGATATCACTATGAGTGACAGAGACCCACCCAGTTACAATACCAAAAAAGAAAAAAAAGAAAAAAAAGTGAGGATCAGTTTCTCATGTAAAGCTCTAGATGGAAGCAGCCCCAAGCTGGGTTGGCTGGTCCAGAAAGTCATCAGGAGCTGGAGCCTCCCAAATTTCTGCTCTGCAACTTTGAGGGAGCAGGTCCCATTTTCGAGGTTCACAAGTAGCTGTTAGACTTACAGAAATGAATCCTCATTTCCTATTAGAAGAAGAACATGCCCAGAGAACACATGAACTCCTTCCAAGGTGCTTCTCACTCAAACTGACCACATGTGAGAAAGGCTAAGAAATGTGGTTCTAAATATGGAGCACTCCATGGGATTTGCACGTCATCCTTATGAGGGGCCACGCTAATCTCTCTGTCATTCCAATTTTAGTGTATGTGCTGCTGAAGAGAGCATAGAAATTTGACTTTAGGGCAGGCTTCCAAAAATAACCTTATTGGTAGGAAAAAAAAAAGACTAGATAGACTAACAGATTTTGTCATTTTGAGACTCCATCCTTATCTCCTTTAGAGCATAAGAATCCAAGATTTACTAGGAAAGTGAGCAAAGCCTCATTTCTGTTAACACCTCTTTTCCAGATGCATCTTCAATGACATGATCTTTTGTGGGCACCCATGCTTTGGGTAGCTCCAATGATACTGCCACAGAACTGTCCACAGGCCAGAGTCCATACTCCAGATCACAGTGCAAGGGGTTTAATCCTCTTGTAATCCCCATCAATGCTGGTAATTTACCAGGTGGCCAGTCATCACCAGAAGGCTAAGTGTAGATGGACCACACACCCTCTAGGATTTGCTATTGTACCCAACCTCAGTTGTAAGCTTCAAGGAACCATGTGGGTTCATGCATCCCTCCCCACAACTACCACTCTATGTATGCCCTCTTTCCCAATCTAGGATAATCTAGATCTGAAAGCCTTATGGGTCTAGGTTTTGAGAATTTAGGTCAAATAGTCTTGTGCGGCTAAAGAAATTCAAACCTTCAACAGAGAAGACTGAGTTGCTTTATTTGGGGCAAAGGTGGGGGCATTTACAATGCAGCACACAAGCTGCTATTTTTAGGCAAAAAAGGATAATTGTACATTGACCAGATAAATCCTTAGCAGTTCAAATGTAACACCCAATAAAATGTATTTTTATCTATGTAGGAGAAATGTAAATTATCTGATGATTCTTTTAATTTAAAACAAATGGGAGTTTTTACTTCTTTTTCCCAATGTCACAGTTTTTGCATTATTATTATTATTGGTAGTGGTGCTGACAATTGAACCAAAGTCCTTGCACAGGACAGGCAAGCACTCTTCCACTGAGCCAAATCTTCAGCCCCCCAATGCCATTGTAATGCTAAGGTGTGACACCTAATTAGCACCGATCTTACGACTTTTTTTTCTACAGCTATAGATATAAAAATCTTTGTTTTGGCCTTTGAAGAGAAAATGCCACAAAGGAATGAGGAAGGTAGCACAGCAGCGTTTTCTAAGTAAGAACTCATGAGAATAGCTGTACATCACGTTTTACACTATTATCTACGGACTTGCCGTTCATTCCCAGGCCCCCGGCTACCTCCCTTCTTCCTTGATGGACGAATCTTGATTTTGCTTACATCCTTACCTTTCCACATACTCAAACTCGCAGCGGGGTAGCTGATTTGTCAATCTAAACCAACTGTCCTTCCATCACTCTTTCTAATGCTTGGTTTAGTGTGGATCTATGAAGTCCAACATGAAGACTTCAGGCAAGGTTCTCCCCTGAAGAGCTTGTGCCTTCCTGTGTTTTGGATATTATACTGTGAGAGCATTATATAGCCATGTGGTATCTCTTTTGACCATGAAGACAGATATTATTAATATGTTATGACTGACATCAAAGAAAAATGGGAAGTATATATGTTAGTTAGATTTCTATCACTGTGACAAAAATACCTGAGGAAATCAGCTTAAAGGGGGAAAAATGCTTATTTTGGCTTATGATTTCAGCTCTGATCACTTGGTCTTGTTGTGTTTGGGCCTGTGGTGGGGCAGGCCATCCCTGTTAAAGGAATTGACAGAGGAAACTGCTCACCTCCCAGAGGGCAGGACACAGAAAGAAAAAGAGGGAGTGGCTTCTTAACAACAGAAGGCTCAAGGGCATGCCCCCAATGGCCACTTCCTCCCACTAGGACCCATGTCTTAAAGCTTCTGCTGCTTCCCAATAACACCATCATCTGGAGGTCAGTTCAATGCATGAGCTTTGGGAAGATCCAAACCAAGGCTGTACCTGTACATCAATTGATTGAGTGCCTGAGTGTAGGAGTTCCTTCATCTCCAGCACCACATAAACCCAGTGTGCTAGCATGCACCTTTAATCCCAGAACTCATGAGGCCAAAGCAGGTGAGATCAAATGAGCATGGTATACATAGCAAGGTCCAGGCCAGCTGGGGCTACAGGGAGACTCTGTCTTAAAAGACAAAAACAAAAACAAAAGGAAGCTACACATGAAAGAAAATAGAATATCTGGTAGAATACCTGGGTATGGTGGAGATGCCTGTAATACTAACACTTGGGAGGTGGGGCTAGGAGAAGCATGAGACCAAGGTCAGCTTTGACTATGTAATGAATGCACGCAAGGCTGGCCTGAGCTACATAAAACCCCATCTCAAAAAACAAAAGAAGGGAGGGAGGGAAATAGAGAGAAAGAAGGACAGGAGGGAGGGAGGGAAAGAAAGGGAGGAGGAGGGAAGGAAGAGAGGGAGGGAACAAGAGAGAAGAAGGAGGAGGAAGGGAGGGAGGAAGGAGGGAAGGAGGGAAGGAGGGAGGGAAAGAAAGAGAGAAGGAAGGGAAGAAAGGAGGGAGGGAAAGATAGAGGAAGAAGAGGAAGGAAGAAGAAAGAAGAGGGAAGGAAGGAAGGAAGAAGGAGAAAGGGAGGCAGGGAGGGAGGGGGAGGGAAGGAGGGAGGGAGGGAGGGAAGGGAGAAAGGAAGGAGGAAGGAAGGAGGAGGAAGGAAGGATGGAAGGAGGGAAGGAAGGAAGGAAGGAAGGAAGGAAGGAGCCTGGTGTGGTGGCTCACACCTATAACCCCAAGTATTTACAGCAGGAAGATTACTAGCCTGATGAATTCCAGACCAGCTTTAGCTACAGAGTGAGACTCTGTATCAAAAAAACAAATCAAACAAAAAACTAGGCCAGATAGATGGCTCAGAGGGTGAAGACACCTGCTGCTAAGCCTGACTACCTGAGTTTGATCCCTAGGACCCACATGGTGGTAGGAGACAAGGGGTTCCTGCAAGCTATCTTCTGACCTCTACATGCCACCATGGCTTGTGTGCTCACACACATCACACAAACACACAAATAAGTGGACAAACCTAACAAAAAATTGAAACAAAACAACAAAAAGATACCAAAATCTAATTTTAAAATATCACTATTCATTTGTCTTAAAATTTTCCTAGTGACTATTCCATATAATAAAGATGTATATTCATAATGCTGGAAAAAGTAAATTTGGTAACTAAACTTGTGATGAAAAATTTAAATACCAACTTTAAAAAATCAAGAAGGGCAGGGTGTCTTGGTGCAGCCTTTAATCTTAGCACTCAGGGGGCAAAGGCAGGGAGATCTCTGTGAGGTAAGACCAGCCTATCCTACATAGTGAGTTCAGGCCAGCTGTGGCTACAGGGAGACCCTGTCTCAAAAAGACCTCCCCCTCCCCAATAAATAAATAATCAAGACGGTATGCAATTTAAAATATTCTTCAAAGGATGTGTGACTGGGGTATTAGGGTCTGCAGCACATGCACCTCCAGGAGCGGTGTGGTGGGCCCTGAAGGTGTATCTGCTTGCATAAGGAATCTTTCGGTGACTAAAACAAAACACAAGAAGAAGCTGGCATCTCCCAACTACCTATCTACCTATTTCTGTACTTTTTCTTGTTTAATCCACTATCTTTTAGAATTACTAAAATCACTATATGCAGCCAAACCCCATTGTGACTGTCATTTAAAGTGTCTCTTTAAAAAAAAGAAATGGTAGCAGAAATTTTATTTCTTAGAAGATTTTTTTTTTTTTTTAATTTAAAAGTTTCCATTTAGGGGACTGGAGAGATGGCTCAGTAGTTAAGAGCACTGACTGCTCTTGTAAGAGCACTCACATGGTGGACAACAACTGTCTTTAACTCCAGGTCCAGGGGATCTGATGCCCTCTTCTGACCTCCATGGGCACTGAATGTATGTGATGTACTTAAATACATGCAGGCAAAACACTTACACACATAAAATAAAAATAAATTTTTAAAAATTAAAAAAATTTCATTTAGCTAATTTTTAAGATTTATTTTTATTTTGTGTGTATGAGTGCTTGCCTACATGTATGTATGTGCACCACATGTGTTCCTGATGCCTACAGAGGTCAGAAGAGTGTGTCAGATCCCCTGGAACTGGAGTTACAGATGGTTGTTAGCCACCATGTGGGTGCTGGGAACTGAAACCCGGTCCTCTGCAAGAGCAGCCACTGCTCTTAACCATTGAGTCATCTCTCTAGCACCACCCCACCCTCATTTAATTATTTTGAAAGATCAAAGAACTACTAAAATTATATTCAATAATTCTACTTTATATTTTTGCCTAATTATCCTAAGATATTTTTGTTTTATTTATTTTTATTATATGCGTATGAGTGTTTAGCCTGCATGTATGTAAGTGCACCAGGCACATGCAATATCCATGGAGGCCAGAAAAGGGTATCAGATCCTCCCCTAGAGCTGGAGTTAGGGACAATGTTAGCCACTATGCAGGTGTGGGGACAAAATATAGGTCCTCTAAAAGAGCACTCAGTACTCTTAATCACTGAGCCATCTCTCCAGTCCTCAAAACTATTTTTGAATCTGGCTAAAGAAGCAAAGAATAGAAACCATTATGACTCTTTTTTTAATTATTATTTTTATTTTATGTCTATACATGTATTGCCTGCATGTAGGTAAGTGCACCCGTGGCGTGCAATGCCTGTGGAGATCAGAAGAGGCTGTCCGTTTCCCTGGGACTGGAGTTAGCTGCCATGTGGGTACTGGGATTCGAACCAGGGTCCTCTGCAAGAACAATGAGTGTTCTTAACCACTGAGCTATCTCTCCAGCCCCCATGACTCTTGTTATTATGTGCACATGAAGGCCCAGACGAGTCCAAAACTAGATCACCACATTCATTCAGTCTCTACATATTTACTAGGTGCTGTTAGGTACTCTCTCTCTCTCTGTGTGTGTGTGTGTGTGTGTGTGTGTGTGTGTGTGTGTGTGTATGTGTGAGAGAGAGAGAGAGACAGAGACAGACCAGGAGACAGAGACACAGAGAAATAGCCAGAGACAGATAAGACACAGGCCCTTATAGACTCTGCATTTGTAGAATAAAATGATGTTGATTGGCAAAAA